AAAAAAAAAAAAAAAAAAAACCTTTTCAACTGGGGAATTCGAAAAAACATCCTAAATTTGTAAAAGTAACACAGTTTATGTAATTACATCAAACTTCAGGGGCAGCTTTTACAAATTATGGGTGCTCTTTTGCAGTTCAAATGCCACCGCCACACAAGGGAATTTCGAAAGCTCTAAACCTGGCGGGCCAACATTCGAGAAGTGATCTTAGGCTGGAGATTTGCACACTCAATCGCAACCCGGCTGATTTCAGCATCCCTGATGCGAAAAACGAGTTCATGATAAGCGCGAAGGATTTGAAACCAAAGAAGAGGAGTTCGAGTTCGTCCAAGGATAAATCCCGGCCCGCTAATATGGATGGCCCAAAGAGACAGAGGGCTAGAAAAGACTCGTCCATAAAGAAGGCTCGAGAGATTAACAGCTGAGAAGATTTATGGATCGATCGTTTGTGTTCGATCTTGTTCGTTCGACTCATACTAGTTTAATTAACTTGTTTTTGTTCTGGTTTTGAGGTTTGATGCTGTAAGACAGTTTAGTTTGTGTTGTTTGTTGTCTTTATATATATGGGGATTTTATTTATTTTGGTTTTGTAGCTGAGGACTTTTCTTCAGGATTTGTTAATATGTGTACAAAAAAACTCAGGTGGATCTCATTTGTGACTTGCATTTGCATAAGTTATGATAAACTTTTACAGGTTTGGAATATATGTGTTTTGCTTTATTATTATAATTTTATTATTATTATTATTATTTTTTTTTATTTATCCTTGACATGTTCTCTGTGTATATTCAGCTTTATTTCATTATACTGAAGTAAGGGGTGTGTTTTAATTTTTCTAATTTGGGTTTTATATTTTTCCAATTATTTAACCCAATTATGTCTATCTCTGAACAAAATTAACAATTTAGAAACTATATTTAATTTAATTAATCAACTTCATGTTTAAATAATTAGTCAATCATCTTAATTACTGTATTTAATTAACTCTTGATTTTTATTTAACATTTATATAGTGCTCACTCATGTTTTACTTCATTGATCATTTGTCTTAAATATTCAACCATATAATTTATTAGTCACATGTTTTTGTTTTTTTTTTTTTGTTTTGCTTAGGTAAATGATGGGTATAAATAATCTTTTAACTTTCAATGGTCACATTCAAATACTAGAGGAAAAACGAACTGACACTGACAAATCGGTGAAATATATCAACTACTTTTCTGAAAATTAAATTATCAATCTACAGTATGGAACCTAATAACCTAATTAACTTTTGTTTAAATAATATTTTTGGTTGGGGTCTTGAATGGAACAGTTTGTTCATCATTAATCTATATATATATATATATATAAAAGTTTGACATTTACCTAAAATAGTAACTGAATTCCCACCTAAATATTTTTTTTACTTTTATTAGTAACTTTTTTAAATATTTTAAAAATTGGTGGCAATCATTTGAAGTTCAAATTAAAAATATTAATACGATTAATGTACAAAATCTGGTCAAATATCTTCCAAATAAATAATTAAATAAGTATAATTACTGTACAGAATCTTGTCAAATATCTTTTATATAATATACTTTATTAATTAAATTGATTTAAATTGATTTTTACTGC